TATATAATCTTTATTTTCTGTCTCTGTCTCCACTTTCCCTGCTGAGAAACATCATACTACAAATTAGGAGCAAGCATCCACAATTACTCGGTGTCACAGTCTACACACCAGCATTCTGCATGTGACCTGAAAGTTTATTTGATATACAGAATCCATACCCCATCCACATCCATTGAATAAGAGTCTACACTTTAACAAGGGCCCTGGTTGATTCCAGCATGTGCTAAAGTTACAGAAGTACACAGTACTTACGCCTTGTGTAAAATGATTACCCAGAGGTTACTTTCTCGACTTTTCAATAAAGCTAAGAATGTTTACTGAGCATGTATCCTGTGACAAACACAATGCTCAGCCTTGAAATGTCTTTTATTTAATCTCCACAACAACTCAGTGAGATAGCCATTACTGTAGATAGCCATTACTTTACCCTCATTTATATTCTGAGTAGTGAGCAAAATTGGTCACCCAAACGTGACCTCTGATTACATCAAGATTTCAACACAGAAATTCTGATCTTGAAGCCTGTGTTCTTATTTGCTAATCACAGAATTTTTCTCTACACCTAGTTGCCTATTTTTAATACAAACAAATTATTTGAGAATTTGTTTAAAGTTGTCATTTGAAATCAAGACCTCTTTCTCTCACAGGAGAAAAAACAGTGACCTATTTCATTTTAGTCATGGATTTGCCAGTAAGTACAATAACGAAGAATTCTAGAAATGCTTGTTGTAGTTGGCAAGCAATATTAACAGGATGACAGCACAACCAATCTCATCAAAATGGATGAGTTAGTGGATGCACTTAATATGTGGGTAGAGCTTTGTGTATCAATTTTCCATCAAGTGTTATGAAAATGATTGTAGCTGGCATGGTGATGTGAGCCTGTAGTTTTAACTGCTCAAGAGTTTGAAGTGGTAGGCTCATTGGAGTCTAGGAGTTCAAAGCCAGCTTAAGCAACATCATGAGGCTGTCTCAAAAAATAATAGAACAGGTTATGTACTTTTAGGAGTTTATTTTTTATATTTCTATTTTCCCACCCTTTACCTAAAATTTACTATTGACCTTTTGGTGTTCTAATGTTGTAAAGTTGTCTCTTAAGTAAATCACTTCATTTTTTTCAGCATTCTAATTCAAAGTGCACATTCATTTTAAGATTTTAGTAGAAATGCTTGTTTATCCCAAGCATGATCTTAAAACTGTAGTCAGATATAGCTACTAAGTAGTCAGTCCCCGGGGAAATGCTCACATGTGTGTATTTTAGGCCGGTGACTCCCCGAATGATTTAGTCCCTGAAGTATTTCTCCCAGTGCATGCAGATTCTCTGACAGCTGTCAGAAGTGTCTGGCCAGAGGTCTGTTGTTTTGAGCTCATCTGTGCTGGTGGGCAGACTGAGCCGAATCGAGGTTCCCTGGGATCGTGTTTGAAAGGAAAGGTGTGCCAGCAGGACAGAGTACTATGACATAGTGAAGGCATTGGTGGGAGATAAAACTTCACCAACCACTTGGTTGTAGAGCTCAAGATATCCAGGCAGCACCAACAGCACAATTACACCTTTTAAGTTACAGATTAGGGCAAAGTCAGCCCGTGGTTGCAGTCATGCCGTACAGCAGCGGGTAGGGAGGGGAAGTAGTACTTAGCAGACTACCTTGCACATAGTGGGTAGAGTCTCTTAGTGCTGAAACGGGATCAAACGCCAATGATCATCCCGTGTGGCTTTTAGAGTCCCACCGGATTCACTAAGCCTGTGACCTATGACCTTGTGACTGTGGCAGGACACAATCTATATCAGAATTTCTTTTCCTAAACAGATTGAAAAATCTTACAGCACTTCTTTCCTTTGCTTTCTTTCTTTCTTTTTTTTTTTTTTTTTAGTGTACAGGGAATCGAACTTACAAACTGATGAACTAATGACCTCACACTTGCCAAGCAGGCACTGTGCTGCCGAACTATATCCCCAGCCCCAGAATTTCTTCTGGTAAACTTGATACATTTAAGATTTTATAATCATAATTTTATTTACTTTCTGATCCAAATTATCCTTGTTATCCAATTTCAACGCATTTTTTTGCATGCTTCTGAATCCACGTGGCATGCCTCTAGGAAAAAAGAATGTCTCATTAATTCAGATTTAATAACCTCTCTTTCCATTCAAATGATATCACTTCCCATAAAACACAATGTACTACATGATGTCTCCCAGCCTTTAACCTTCACACAGTTCATTGGTGCCACTTTATCAGGGATGGGAAAGAATTTGATGTAATTCCTACATAATGACTTCTTGAATGTGTCCTGGCCTTTGATCGACTGAGAGAAGAGTGCTAATAAGAATAAACAGACAGGATTTTGAGCCATGTGATAGAGAATTATACACTCATTACCTATTTTTATATATATATACAACACATTTTATATATTGCAACATCTCATGGCAAGAGAATCTTGAAAGCTTTTGATGGTTATTAATTTAGGTTTATTCTTTTCTTTATTTTGTATCTGCTTTCCAGATTTCCTGTAACAAATCTCTATTATATTTTTATTTCTCACTTTCTATTTGTCTTAGAATTTCTATTACTTTCCTCATAACTCACTCTGGATTTCAAGTCTTAGACAACCCCTGTTAACTCTCTGGATGAATTACATTATAAATCCTATCTTTCAATAAATTTTTTCATAAAGTTTATTAGAAGTTTACAAAAAAGTGGATAGCTTTCATACCATCTTGGTATTTTATAGGAGAAATCATCTTACAGAAAACATCTTTTGTTAGTATATCTTTATAATACAAAAATTATTGTAAATTACATTACTATTAGAGTTGATGTGTGTATTTTTTTAAAGTAACCTATATACCATCTTCAACTTTAAAAAGATCTTCCAAATACATAATAAAAACTATTGATGAACTTTGCTACATATAAATAAATTAACGGTAGTATAACAAAAAGTACTATAAGCAAGCTCCAAAGATGAATTTTTAAAAATGGAGAATATTGCCACACATTACATGTAAAATGGCAGTTTCTGTAACATAACCTGAGCTTTCGACATGAGAAACTATGAATAATCCAATTGAACAATGAGCAAAGAGCTATGTAAACCAGTAGAAGAATGATTGAAAATAATAAGAAAATAAGAACTCACACACCTTCACAGTTGAAGAACTGCAAATGAAAACATCAAATTAAGAAAGACTGATTTGATGAAATCCATATTTTTAGTACCAGATTTTTGTTGTCCTTTATAGAAGGCATTTTGTAAATATCTGTCACCAATTTAGGGTATACAAACAATTTGGCTCAACAATTCTATCTGGAATTTACCCTACTGATATATTCATATAAGTACAGAAATGTTTAGGTATAAATGTGCAACTGAAAGATTTTGTGTTCCCTTTCATACAAAAGGGAGATTGGCAAAAAAAAAAAGACAGATTCAAACATTAATAACAGACTTGTAAGTAAATCAGTGCACTAAATAAAATATTGTATGGTCATCAACTGAATAAGACAGATTTATACATACTGATATAGGAAGTTCCTGTAGCCATAGTATTAAGTAAAATTAATATACTAAAGATATAAAAGAAGTAAATAATGTAACATATAAAAAGAGAGACCATTAGTTTTATATGCATGTGTGTACATTTTTTAAAGTTCTAAGGGGATAGACTAGAAAGGACTTATAAGTATCCTAGTTAGTGAATCTGGAGACAGAGATGACAAGGAAATAGATGTTTCTTTTATTTGATATTCTTCTGTAACTCAAAATTTATACTATATGCAGGTACTACTTCCATGGAAAAGAAAAAAAAGATCTTTACAATGGTATTTTAAAAGTTATGTTCCACTAACACTTGTAAAAACTTTATTTGAAAAAGATTATTTGTCACAGTTTAACTTAAATTTATAAAAATGGAATCCATTATCATTTATTGTGCTTAGTAGCCATCTCAATAAAAAGCATCATAGAATAAGACGACACTATTTTTCCAGAAAAATTTCTTTTTCTCCAGCATGTACTGGGGAGACCATAAGCAAGAAAAGGATAAGATCCCATGGCGGCCACTTAGCACAGCCTAACTAGAGAAGGCAAATAGGTTCTTGATGTGGAATAGATGGTTTCATTCCCTTCCAAAACATTCTTTTTTTTTTTTTTTTTTTTTTTTGTTTTTTTTTTTTTGGTTTTTTTCCGGTACCGGGAGTCGAACTCATGACCTCGCGCTTGCCAGGCAGGCTCTGTGCCGCTGAGCTAAATCCCCAGACCCGCTTCCAAAACATTCTTAATGTGCAATGTTAATGCCCACGGTGTAAGATGAAATATCTGACCTCATTTGTGAACCACTTTAATTTCTCTTTTTCTTTTCAGGTTTGGTATGTGATAGGTTCGTCTAAAATGGCAGGGTTTTTATCTCAATGAGTTACTGAAGCCATCCCAGAAAGCAGCCCCCAGGTAAGTGTCTTCCATCTACAGCACTGTATCTCTCAGTAGTTTTCCCTAAATAAGTTAACAGTGGAGGTAGCACAATAAGCCCCACACATATTTGTTCTATGAAAGAGATAGAGGAAAGGAAAAAGAATGGAATCCCAGTCTCACTCTATTCCCTCCAACAGTGGGTTAAAAATGTACATATTTATGGTGTTAGATGTAAACGGTGTAAGAATTGCCAAAGTATTTCTATTTGTGTAGTGGGCACAAACCATTAGAGAGATCTACAGTCTCTTGGAAGAGACCCTTTGTAGCCATAGGAGACTGCTTGAGGAATACTCCCTTTGCTGGTAGGACTACCAGGAAATAATTGTGCTCTCTCCTCTACCATAGGGGAGCAGGGGTATCTGTGCTCTGTGACTCCCAGTACTCACTTGCACACACGTAAAACATTGATGTATCTGAGTCTCATCTCTACAAATTTCTCCCTTATTCCAGTAATAAGATACGGAGAACGAGTACATGAAATTGGAGGCAGGGGCAGTCTAGCCCTATGATAGGCACTAGAGACAGAGAGTCACATGGCGGGACGTTAATCTTTCAGAGCATGATACAGAGCAGCAGGATCAGCTGTCACTGCTTCATCTGCCCACCCCTGTCTTGTGAATCTATCAGCCATTTTTCATAAAAGAAATCCTTTATTTACCCAACTAGTAGGGGAAAAAAAGACTCAGCTCAAAGAATAAGCCCCAAGACTCAGCTTCCCAGAGAAAATAAAAAGTAGCTTATACCGTTCTGAAGATACTGGAATTCTGTTTTATCATGGTAGAGATTAGGTAGGTGCCGGGTGACGAGACATACCGAAGTGACTCCATTCTTTGCTAGAGTGGCGAGTATGAAACAGCTCCTACAAGGCACTCAATGGTAGCGGTGTTAGGAAACTATTTAGAACGGCTTTAATCTTAAAGATAAAGATAGTAACATTCTACAGAGTTCTGTCACTGAACATCATTAGGGTTTGGTTTGGGTTGGGTTGAATGTGTGTGTGTGTGTGTGTGTGTGTGTGTGCGCGCGCAAGCACTGGATTTTCAGTGTTATTTTTATTTCTCTTATTTTGTTATTAAAATATGCATAAATTTGGGAGTCTGAGCTTGCATGTTTTCAGCAACAACTCAACTGTGGAAACAGCACAATAAAATACATATCAGAGATAAGGAGACAGGAAGATAAGTCGCACCCCGAGCGTGCTAACCAAGAGTTCTTTCTGCACAATACTCCATCAGCCCTACAGAGACGGAAGCGGCAGTTACTTCCAGCACATCCCTGCTGGAAGAGAGGCTGGGACCCGTCTCCCTTCTCCTATTTTTCCAAAGCCTTCATTTCATAATAGTCACACATTTGTGGCAAAACTTACAAAATACCTATGGTGTTCTGTTTAAGAATAACAGAACATTCATTTACTCTTTCATTTTCTCACACCAGGGGGACAATGTGATGTTTGTACATGTGAGTCTGATTTATTTCACTTAAGATTATGGTCCCAAGTTGCATCCGTTTGCCTAGAAATGTCTCAGACTTATCTTTCTTTATGGCAGAGTAATACTCCATTGTATAAAAAAATCACATCGTCTTTATCCGTTCCTCAGTTGATGGGTATTTGGGTTGTTTCCAAGATTTAGCTATGACAGACTGTACTGCTGTAGACAAAGGTGCACATATATTGCTTCAGTGTGATGTTTATTGCTCAGAAGGAAAGAGTAACGAGGGTGGGGGAACGGGAAAATGAAGGAAGGGAAAAGGAAAAAGTGATTTTAAAAAGGATAAAATGGAAACAAAGTTTTGTAAATAGGAAAGGAAAGACGGACTGAAGGTGGGAGTGGGGACTGGGAAAAAAAGAATATGCCATGTATGGGGACAAATTCCTTACAACGAATACAATCATTATGTATATCTAACATGTACCGATAAACTTAATTTTAAAGATAGAATAACAGAACACTGAAGAAAATGTACTTTAAAATTTTTCAGACATTTTATTTTTTTATTTTATGGAAAAAGTAAAACAAAATTTCATAACAAAATAATAGGAATTAGCAATAGTTAATACATTATATGTCATTATTTTTAAAGTAATTGCTCAGGGTAAATATACAGGCATAAAAATTTCTCCAATTGATATTAGTACAAACCTTCCTTTTTAATGAACTAAAAGACACTAATAATATAACTGACTTACATTTTTCCCTTTTTTCTACTGTCCTTTCACCTGTCCTAGTTCCTTTTTCCTTTTGAGTAATTTCTTCCCATTTCATACTATTTATTGCACATTTTAGAACTTATTTACTCTTTCAGTTCCCCACACCAGGAAGACAATATTATGTTTACACATGTAAGTCTGATTTATTTCACTTATGAGTATACATCCATTTGCCTATAAAAACCTCGAATTTCTCCTTCTTTATGGCTGAGTAGTACTCCATTGTATAATACTACATTTTTTCATTCATTCCTCAGTTGATGGGCTTTTGGGTTACTTCCAAGTTTTAGCTATTACAAAGCATGCTGCTATGACCATGAGTGCATATATATCACTCTAGTATGGTGTTTTTAATTCTTCTGAAAATATACCGAGAAGGGGAATAGCTGGGTCAAATGGGACTTCTAATTTTAGTTTTTTGAGGAATCTCCACACTGGTTCACAGTGGTTGCACCAGTCTACATCCCACCAACAGGGGAGAAGGGTTCCTTTTTCCCACAGCCTGCCAACATTTATTATTGATTGATTTCTTGATGATGGCCATTCTTTCTGGGGTGATGAAATCTCAGTGTTGTTTTAATTTGTATTTCTCGAAAGACTAGTGACATTCAACACTCTTTCATGTATTTATTTGCCATTTGTGTTTCTTCATCTAAGAAGTGTATATTCATCTCAGATGCCCATTTTTGGATTGGTCTTTGAATTTGGGGGTTTTGATTTTTTTCAAATCTTTGTATGTTCTAGATGGAAGTCCTTTGTCTGAGGGACAACTGGCTATAATTTTTTCCTGCTCTGTGGGTTGTCCTCTCACCTTGTTGGTGATTTCTTTTGTTGTGCAAATCTTTGTAATAAGATGAGATCCCAGTTGATTCCTTGAAGTATTTCCCATGCAGTCTGTGTTTCATTCATGAACTCTCTATGTACACCTATGTCTTCAAGATTTCAACCTAATTTCTCTTCCAATAGATTTAGTGTTTCTGTTTTAATATTTAGATCTTTGATCCATTTTGAGTTTAGTTCAGTGTGTGGTAATAGACATGGATCTAGTTTTGGTCTTCAGCATATGGAAAGCCAGTTTTTCCAGCACCATTTATTAAAGAGGCTATCTTTCTGCCAGTGAACGTGTTTGGCCCCTTTGTCAGTGATAAGGTGGTTAAGTGTGTTTGGTATTGTGTCTACATTTTCTAATCTGTAAAATTTTAAACATTTTCAAGCCTTTAAGTTTCAAAGGGACAAAGAAAAGAAACCTTATCCCAGGAAGCTATTTTTTTGTTCATTAAAGAACTAATTCTATACCAATTCTACCACTAACCAGCAGTTTTGCTCTTGGTTTCCTGTAAAATAATCTCTCCAAGATCCCATCCTGAGGTCTGGGAAATATGTAAATAGAAACAGTGTTTGTGGAAGGACCTCTGAACTCTGTAACATCCCTTTAAAATTTTTACCAACTTACAGATGCAGAACTCTGATCTCTTATTGATTTTTAACTATCCCTGGGCAAACAATTTCAAAGCTTGTTTTATAGGGCCAAAGAGTATTTAGAAATCTACCTACTTCAAAGGGAGGAAGTCTGATAAAGACATTTACAAAAAATTTTAAGAATACTTAATGGCTTAAAATCTATGTACCTGTATCATCCAGTATGGTAGTCATTTGCTATATGGGCCTAAATATAAATTGATTTCAGTGAAATAAAATTAAACATTTAGCTCTTCAGTTGCAGTAGCCACAACACGAGTGTGCAGAAGACACATGTACCCAAAGGACTGTGAAAATATACAACATTTCTATTCTCATCAAAATTTGTATCATACAGAATACTACAAACAAACATCAATAATGCAGTGGCATTTCATTGCTGCTTAGTAAGATTTTACACACTTTAGCTTACTTGAAAAATTTTAAATATTGTTAAAATTCCAATTTTCTCAGTATTACATTATTGGGGTTGTATTTTTTTTTCCTATGTGTTAGACTATTAAAACTTATGGGCTAAATAGGGCTGGGTGTGTAGTTTAGTGGTAGAGCACATTCTCAACATGTGGGAAGGCCTGAGTTCAGTTCCCAGAAAACACATATACACAGCCTACATATGAGGCTAAGCACTCTATGTACTCTTCTAAATGAGAGATTCTTGTGCCAGGGATATAGCTCAGTGGCACAGTGCCTGCTTGGCAAACACAAAGTCATGAGTTCAATTCCCAATACTAAAATCAACCAAAAAACTCATCAATTAGAATAAGAGACTCTTGATTTCTTAAAAATTGAGAAAAGAGATAACTACATTTATATTGAGCTAAATATTAAAATATATGATTGCTGATGTGTTTACCAATATTCTTGACATCTCCAAGTAAGCAGAAGTTCTGTAAAGTTTTAGTTTTGCTAAAATGAGAGATGTGACTTAAAAGCTGATTTATACTTTTAAGCAATTTTAAAAACCAAATGAAATAAGTACTAAAATACTTTTTCATAGAAATGTTCATGATATTACAAGTCTCTGATTTGATTTATTTTATATATTTATAAATAAATTTATATTAAATATTTATATGTAACATATTTATAAGCAATACAGTAACTTTTTTCACTTTTAATATAAGCATCCCTATTACAATATATTTTTAAAATCATTAGTCACCATTTTTCAAATAATATGATCCCATTAATGAAACATCAGTCTTTTTTTATTTTAAAGAGAAAAAAAATTGAAAAAATAACAATAATGACAACAAAAACAAAACAACACAAAAACAATAAAAATGAT